CATAACCATTATGCAATCTTCTGGTCCTAATACTTTGTGTTCTTAAAAAGACTACTGTTTAGGAGGAGATAATTTTTTTAAAGATGTTTTTCTTTTCGTTTTTGCCATAGGGCTCATGTGCTCGCCAGAGAGAGACACAAAGAGAGACGGAAAGTGAGAAATTACTCTCCAGGGAGATGGCCAGGCCTCAATCCCTTCCCCAGTCTCCTCTCAGGATTTTGGGCACACATACACATGCGATTTTCAGGCTGCCAAGTCTGGGATCAAACTGCAGAGTTGACCATGTGGGACCCAATGTCTTAACTGCTATACCACCTGCCAGTTCCAAGAAAAGACATCTTTTTTTTTTTTTTAAAGAATTATTTATTTGTTATCATTATTTTTCTATTTTAACCAGAGAGAGAGAGAGAGAGAGAGAGAGAGCACAAGCCACCAGGTCCAGGACTCGAACCGTGGTTGGCCATGTGGGAGTCCACTGCCTTTAACCACCACACCACTTCTCGGCCCCAGAATCTTTAATTCATTAGTCCTAGAAATCTAAATCATATGTAAAGAAATTACTAGTTGATTAGCTCCTAGAGTGTTTAACCACAGGGGGATTTTTTCTTGGCAAATCCTTAATATTTGTCATCAGATTGAGTTTAGAAGCCATAAGAAATCAAGTGAGGATATAAGAGGATGAAACAGTCAGAAAACACACACGCAATCCCAGAAAGGGTTATGGTAGACATTGTGCGCTCCTGGGCTGATGCCACGTCCTCGCCACTCTTCTCAGAAGTGTGGGGAGGAACAGATACCACTGAGCAATCAAAACACACTTTTCACCTGAACCTAGAATGACCTCAGTGTATGCCTAAGTACTGCAAAGCTCCAGATGTCTCCTGCCAGCCAAAGAAGGAAGACAAGCCTCACTTTTCCTCACCACCGCTACTAGGGTTTGAATATGGCCCCCAGAGGTCTCGTGCTGGGATGGGATGGTGTTGACTGTACTGTGAAGGTACTCAGGGAACACTTAATTCTTTCACGGTGTCCCAGGTAAGCAGTGGTAGCTTTGTCGTGATTGCATCATGGAGGTATCAGTCCCACAAATAGATTAATAATGTCTTGCAAGACCCAGTGAGTTCTAACTCTGTGAGACCGGGTTGGTTCTCAGTAGAATCCCACATAGCTGACTGCACAGTCCAGATTCTGGGGCCATGAAAAATACACTGTATGTGAGCATGCCCAAAACCCAAGAAAGTTCTCTTGAAAGCAGTTATGAGGGGCCAGCAGATGGCTTAGTGCTTACATCTGGACTCCCACATGACTGACTATGGCTCGAGTCCCAGACCTAGTGGCTTGAAACTCATGCCGGGTGTGTGTGCCTGTGTGCCCAAGATCTAGGGAAGAAAATAGAGAAGGGATTGCAGCATGGCCATCCCCCCAGAGAGTGATTTCCCTCATTCCCTTCTTTGTCTCTCTCCAGTGGGTACATGCACCCCAATGCAAAAACCTCTAAAAAATAAAATGTGATTATGAGACAGAGATGAGTCAGAACACCTCTGTGTATGACCTGTCTACTTCCATGCCTCCAGTGACCACACTGCGGGGCTAGGAACTTGGACTTCCCAGCTAATAGAATCATGAGTTTATAAATAAATGTATCTTCTTTTTACTGTAGGGCACATGCGCTCATCAGAGGGACAGAGAGAAAAGTGAAAAATCACCCCCTAGAGGGGATAGCCATGCTATAGTTCCTTCTTCTCTTCTTGGGATTTTGGGCACACACACACACACACACACACACACAGAATGGGCATGAGTTTCTAACCACCGAGTCTGGGGCTCGAACCATGATCACCAAGTGGAGTCCTTCACCTTGACCACTACACCACCTGCTGGCCCTTCTTCTGTTTGATATTTAATTGCCAGAAGGTGTATACATGCTCACCCAAGATAGAGGGATGGAGTGTAGGGTGGATCATGTTGTAATCCCTTTTCTATTTTTCCAACCTGTTAGGATTTGGGACGCACACACACATGTGCCCAGTGTGGTTTTCAAGCCTCTGGTGTTGGACTTCAAACTGTGATTCTTCGTGCCCTGATTCCCTTATCCAGTAGGTTTCAGGGTGATCTAAACTTAGGTCATTTTTGTAAAAGCATTCAGGCTTAGCGATTTCTGTTAGCCACGCAGAGACGGAGATGATAAATGTATTCTTGGTCAGGTCTGTTTAGGTTAATATACTCCCCATGCTTAGGCAGGAACTGTTTTGGGGTTTTCTTTGCAAAGTGAGGTAAGTATTGTGGCCCTAGTATTGAGCTTCCAGGTATTTCATTCTTCTCTCTCTCGTACGTGCACTCTTACTCTCTCTCTTTTATTTTTAAAGAATTTTTGTGGGGCCAGCAGGTGGTGTGGTGATTAAAGTCACTGGACTCCCACATGGCTGACGATGGCTCTAGTCCCAGATCTGGCAGCTTACTTTCTCACTCTCTCTCTCTGTCCCTCTCTAGACAAATTAAAATTAATTAATTAAGGTAAATAAAATAATTCTTTCAAAAAATTTTAAAAGAGATTTTTGCTATTGGGTGTGTGTGCTTGCTGGAGAAGCAGAGGGAGACAGAAAACAAGAAATCATCTCCCAGGAGGATGGCTGTACTGCAATCCCTTCTCTTCCATTTTCCTCTCAGGATTTTGGGCACACATGCACGCACACACACACACCCAGCATGAGCTTTAAGCTACTGGGTCCAGGACTCGAACCATAGTCTACTATTTGGGAGTCCAGTGATGTAACCATTACAGCATCTGCTGGTCCTTCACTCTTTCTAGGATTGGGTTCAGTGTCATAGAACCATAGAATTCCCAATATTCCACTTGGATATTTATGACATTGTGTCCTGTTTTTGCTTGGAATGAGAGGGACCATTCTGCTAGAGACTTTAGAGGAAGGAGAGGAACAATAGGCACTTAATGGTGGGTGATAGATTGAGTCCTTTATATTTAAATTAAAAAAAATAATAACCACAGGAGGTCAGTATTACTGTCCCTATTTTGCAGGTGAAGAAATATCCTCAGAGAAATTAAACTATTTGCTTAAAACCTCACAGCTGGCAAATGATAAAGGTAATGGACCAGCAGTTAGCATAATGGCTATGTCGCTAGACTCCCATGTAGTTGACCGTGGTTCGAGTCCCGGACCCGGTGGGTTAAACTCATGCCAGGTGTGTGTGTGTGTGTGCGCGCCCAAGATCCCAAGAGGAGAATGGAGGAGAAGGGATTGCAGTGTGACCATCCCCCCTGGGGGGTGTTTTCTTGCTTTCTATCTCTCTGTCTCTCTCTGTCTTTCTGGCGAGCACATGTGCCCTATAGCGAAAACCTCTCCAAAAAAGAAAAAAAAAAATTAAAGTCACTGGACTCCCACATGGCTGACGATGGCTCTAGTCCCAGATCTGGCAGCTTACTTTCTCACTCTCTCTCTCTGTCCCTCTCTAGACAAATTAAAATTAATTAATTAAGGTAAATAAAATAATTCTTTCAAAAAATTTTAAAAGAGATTTTTGCTATTGGGTGTGTGTGCTTGCTGGAGAAGCAGAGGGAGACAGAAAACAAGAAATCATCTCCCAGGAGGATGGCTGTACTGCAATCCCTTCTCTTCCATTTTCCTCTCAGGATTTTGGGCACACATGCACGCACACACACACACCCAGCATGAGCTTTAAGCTACTGGGTCCAGGACTCGAACCATAGTCTACTATTTGGGAGTCCAGTGATGTAACCATTACAGCATCTGCTGGTCCTTCACTCTTTCTAGGATTGGGTTCAGTGTCATAGAACCATAGAATTCCCAATATTCCACTTGGATATTTATGACATTGTGTCCTGTTTTTGCTTGGAATGAGAGGGACCATTCTGCTAGAGACTTTAGAGGAAGGAGAGGAACAATAGGCACTTAATGGTGGGTGATAGATTGAGTCCTTTATATTTAAATTAAAAAAAATAATAACCACAGGAGGTCAGTATTACTGTCCCTATTTTGCAGGTGAAGAAATATCCTCAGAGAAATTAAACTATTTGCTTAAAACCTCACAGCTGGCAAATGATAAAGGTAATGGACCAGCAGTTAGCATAATGGCTATGTCGCTAGACTCCCATGTAGTTGACCGTGGTTCGAGTCCCGGACCCGGTGGGTTAAACTCATGCCAGGTGTGTGTGTGTGTGTGCGCGCCCAAGATCCCAAGAGGAGAATGGAGGAGAAGGGATTGCAGTGTGACCATCCCCCCTGGGGGGTGTTTTCTTGCTTTCTATCTCTCTGTCTCTCTCTGTCTTTCTGGCGAGCACATGTGCCCTATAGCGAAAACCTCTCCAAAAAAGAAAAAAAAAAAAGATAAGATTCAGTCTCAGATCTGTGACATCTAGCCTCATGGCAAGGGTGTCTGGGGAGTCGCCCATTGTTTCTTGGATGATCCTGACCAAATATGCTTTTGACTTCTTTTCATATCGCTGAGTAGGCTTCTGATAATAGCCTTGAGCTTAACTTTCTACTGTCTGTTCAAAATTATTTTTATTTTCAGGTTTTTACCATAGGGCACACAGCTCTCCAGAGAGAGACAGAGAGAAAGAGACAGTGAGAGAGAAAGTGAGAAGTCACCTCCCAGGGGAATAGCCATGCTGCAATCCTTTCTCCTCCATGCTCCTCCCGGGATTTTGGGCACACACGCACACGCACCTGGCATGAATTTTAAGCCACTGGGTCCAGGACTGAAATCACAGTCAGGATGTGTGGGAGCCCCGAACGTGAGAGTCTAGCACATGCCATCTGCTGACCCCAGCTTCCTTCTGTCTCGAGTCTCATGGACCATGGAAGTAGATGGAAAATAGGTAAATGTCGATCAGCTATGCATTAGGAATAATCATCTTTTTTAGGACTTTATGCGGGTCAGGTATAATTCTGTTAACCTGGAGCCTAGCTTAACAGAAATTGAAAGCATATTTAGGTTCGTTTTGGTCTCTTTTTCTGCAGGAAGTCGTCCATATCAGGTGATCACTGCCCGGGTTCACCCAGGAGAGAGCAATGCCAGTTGGGTAATGAAGGGGACCTTGGAGTTCCTGGTCAGCGGGGACCCTGTGGCAAGACTCTTGAGGGAAAACTTCATTTTCAAGATCATCCCCATGCTCAACCCAGATGGTGTCATCAACGGCAAGTATGTCAGGCTTCTGGCCCGACCTAGCCTGCATCCATGTTCCCATGGTAACACACTGTCGTTTTACCTATTGAGTGTGATTGGAGAGGCCTTGATACTCCAGCAGGAACAAATTCTCTCTTCCTGTTATCTGGCACAAATAAGGACATACCCTCTTTATCCACTGACGCCAGGATCACTGTTTCTTTGAACAGAAAGGAATAGATTATAAGCAGTTAATGCCAGGGGAAATAATCCAGACCTACACTGTCTTTTTAAAAAGGAGGGACTAGGATCCAGTGTAATCAAATGACTTACCCAAGTCTCATGGTGTGTTAGTACGGAACCAGAGCTTCAGTTGTGATGTTTTTGCAGTTAAGACTTGTGCTTTTATTGACTTCTTAATATCTACTAGTGAGAAATCATTATTCTCAGTTGTATTATCCTGGATTCACAATATAGTTATTATAAGGGTATCACCCCAGCTAAGTGGAGTATTGACTGAAAAAAGGTTGGGATCGTTCTCCTTTTCCAACCGACATGCCTATGGAATGGACAGTGGGAAAGGTGGTTCCCATGTCTATTGCGGTCTCTTGGAAACGCTCAGCAACCTCAGAGCCTGTGAACTGAGGCCTGGGCATCAGGTAAGTCTCTCAAATCCACTTGGGCAGTGTGTGCGGGTGGCAGGATTAACGTTCACAGATACCTGTCTCAAAATTGTGGAGAGAAAGTAAATCCCTTTCCTATGTTAACAGATGATTCTTTTTACTGTGGGTATGGATATTATATCTTTTGTACAAAAAAAAAAAAAGGGGGGGGAGAATACCAGCAGATGGCATAATGGTTACATTGCTAGATTACCACATGGGTGACTGCAGTTCAGAGTCTTGGACCTGGAGGCTTTGAACTCACACTGGCCGTGTGTGTGTTTGTGCCCAAAATCCTGAGAGAAGAATGGAGGAGAAGGGTTTGTGGCGTGGCTGTCCCTCCTTGGGGGTGATTTCTCGCTTTCTGTCTCTCTGGTGAGCACATGTGCCTTAGAGCAAAAATAGAATACAAGATAAATAGGAAATACAGAAAGAAAAATAATTTCAAAAGCCACAAATGAACAATGTATTTACATTTTAACATAGCATTATTAAAACAGATGCACGAGTTTAGGAAACTGAGAAGGTAGAGTAATATTTAAAAGGTGAAACAGAAGAGATAAAATGATAAGGAAATATTAAAGGCAAAACTTCAAAGACATAAAATGAAAATGACTTATATAAGAATTATTTAAGAAAGACAACATAGTAATTCATTTAAGAAAGACATTAAATGCTAAACAGCTGAGAGTAGACTAGCTTGAAAGGATAGGAATGAAATGAAGATAGATACGTTTTAAAAGGTTAGAAATATATAGATAACTATAAAAGGAGGAACAGCATGAATTCTAAATAATGTTAAGCTGTGCTAAATCCAAGCGAATCAAAGCTACAGGCCATAAAAATAACATTTTTTTTCTTTTTTTTTGAGATGTTTTTGCTATAGGGCGCATGTGCTCGCCAGGCAGACAGAGACATAGAGACAGAAAGCAAGAAATCACCCCCCAGGGGGGATGGTCACGCCGCAATCCCTTCACCTCCATTCTCCTGTGGGGATCTTGGGCACGCACACACATGCACCTGGCATGAGTTTAAGCCACCAGGTCCAGGACTTGAACTGAAGTCAACTACAAGGGAGTCCAGTGACATAGCCATTACGCTAACTGTTGGTCCCAAAATAACATTTTAATGAATACAAAAATAAAAAAAATATAAATAAAAGAAGGAAAGATAAGGCAACAATTTATTGCTAACAGGTCAAACCTTCTCAGTATAGACATTCCCAAGGTCCAGGAGGTGGCATGGTAGTTAAGGCGCTGGACTCCCACATGGCTGACCACAGTTCAAGCCTTGGACCCAGTGGCTTGAAAGTTATGTGGGGCACATGTTTGTGCATGCCTGAAGTCCTGAGAGGAGACTAGAGGAGAATGAAGTTCTCAGATTCTATTTTATTTTGGTGGAAATTGAAGTCAAAAATGCAGGGACAAGAACAAGGTCCTTTCTCTTTCTCTCTGGACTGGTTGCCCTTTAAGCACCAACCAGTGCTGAAGGGGGCGGCTGGGAGACCACATTCTCTACTAAGAAGCAGCCATTGAACCCGTTTTTAAGATCTTTTAAGATCTCAGGCTGGGCTCAGCCCTAAAGCAGTGCCTCTCCTGAGTTGGTTTCTGCTTTAAGTCTGGAGAACCGCTC